TTTAGTTTGGTCAAGCAGAAACAAAATTAAATAAACATGTCCCACAGAGTAGGCCCGCTGGGGCAGCGATTACCAAGGGGAAGACTCAAGAGAAGCTGGAGAAATTGCATTTTAAGACAACATAAAATTCTAAGACAACATAACAAAGTACAGCAAGACTATATACCAGACTCCAGGAGGGCATCCCTGACCCTTGAGATGTGGGGCTTTCAAAGTGGCATGAATCGGGAACACCAGATCCTGCCAGGAGTGATTAGGAGTTAGGATTTAGTAGCAATACCTGCAGGAACTTAGACTCCAACCCTATTCTCCAGCTCAGCATTGATGTCTGGAAGGCACTACCACCACTCCCTGGTCTTATCAGCTGTCTGGGTCCCAGTGGTGCTCAGAGTTGATTACTTGAAGCTCTCAGAACTGCTGGTTTTTATGGAGGCCAGCATGTAAGGAATCAGTGTTAGAAAAGTAAACACTTCTCAGGGGAAAATCCAACCAGAAAACACTTGACCTCCAGAGCTCTTGTTCACTGCTGTTATCTTTACTCCTAGATCCCCCCATTTAGCCTGTGCAGCTTTGGCCTCCCATAGCTGTTGTCTCTATCCCTAACATTGCTCTTGCTTCTCATTCGGGCATATCCTATGCCTTAATGTCCAAATGGTAGAGCTTTTAACAATGCAATTCTCTTAAAAACCTCAAGGGTTTCCAATGAAACTAATTCAAATCTCTTCTATGTTCCAAAAGCCTCTACCACAACTCTTTTGCAAACATGTCCATCTCTACATTGAGTGTTTTACATTTCTGTTGGAGAAGACCTGAAAAATTTTAGAAGCTATTTTATCTACTTCAAAGTTTCTATCAAACGTTCCTTTACAGAGGTCTTAACAAAGTGTCTTAACAAACATCTTATTGCGATGTTTTTATTAGCTCTTTACTCTGAAGCTATTTATTACTTTGAGAATATTGTACTGGTCTGAGAGACCACGGATGAGTAAGTTTTATTTTCTAACCTCAAAATTCCTAGTCTTTCTATATTCCTGTTACTGCTTAAAAATTAAACAATTCCTTCTTTTTACTTATCTCTCTTTCTTTCTTAGTCCATTCAGGCTTCTATAACAAAATATCATGAACTGGGTAGTTTATAAGCAACAGAAATTTATTTCTCACAGTTCTAAGGTTGGAAAATCCAAGATCAACATGTCAGTTTGATCAGGTTCTGGTGAGGGCTGACCTTCAGGTTGCAGACTGCTGATTTCTCACTGTGTCCTCACATGGTGGAATGAATGAACTCGCTCCTTTGGGCCAATTTATAAGGAAACTTGTCCCGCTCCTATATGCTCTACCCTCATAGTTACCTCCTAAAATTCCTCACCTACTATTATGATCATGTTGGTGATTAGATGTTAACCTGAATTTTAGGGAGACGTGAACATTCAGATCATACCCTTCCCATAAATAATCACAAGCAGCTAAAAGAAGCCAACTGACATTTTCAATATGCTTTCTAAAAATCACCTTGCTCAAGTCTACAAGGTCATTAAGTAAATTTTTAAACTTCCAGGTTATGACAGGCAACAGTTTTGCCAAACATTTCATAAGTACATAACAGGAGTTGCTATTTCTCCATCCTCTTAGTGCCCTCATTGTTTTTCTAGACTTTTCCAACAATTTCCTTGCTACTTTTCCAGCTTCCACCTTCTTCCTGTTCCCAAAGCTAACACCATGTGTTTCTGACTTGGGTATAGCAGCAACTTCACTGCCAGTACCCATTTGGGTTTGAGTTAGTTTCTACTATATAACAAATGACCACAAATCTTAAGACTTAAAGAGTAAAACCAAACACTGATTTAGCTCAAAATTGTGCGAATTGGCTGGGAAATCTGATTTGATCCACCTTAGTGGATCTCTGATGGATCACTCCTGAATCTTGTGTCACCTTGGTTTTCAGACGGCAGATGAAAGGTCTAGGTTGGTTTTACTTACATGTCTGGTGGTTGATGGGTTGATCATTAAGGTATCCGTTAGTCAGGTTTTTTTTTTTTTGTCACTGTGACAACTTAGAGGAGGAAAAGTTTTATCTTGGCTCATGGTTTCAGGAGTTCATTCCATGATCAGACAGTTTCATCACTCTGGTCTAAAGTGAGGTGGAGCATCATGGCTGAGGGCACAGTGGGGGAAATCTACTCAGCTCATGTGGGCAGGAAGCAGAGAGAGAAAGGGGAAGGGGCTGCAGGGAAGATGAATGCTTCCAGGGCATGCCCCAGTGACTCACCTCCTCCAGCCATGCTCCACCTGCCTACAGTTACCACCCAGTCAGTCCATTAAACTAGGATAGACTGATTAGGTTACAGCTCTTGCAATCCAGTTATCACACCTCTGAACATTCCTGCATTAACACAGAGTTTGGGGAAGATAAAAAGCCATAAAAAGGTGACTGGGCCACATGTGTTTTATCACCTATCAGTCTAGGCCAAGCATCTTTAGATATCAATAACAGGATTCCAAGAGCCATCAAAGAGTAAGATACAAGTGCACATGACCTGTTCGATTTTGTTTGCTTCATGTTTCTCACTGTCCCGTTGGCCAAAGCAAGTCAACCATGCTTAAAAATAATGGTTGCCCTTACAATTTAGTCTGTAGATTAATAAAGGTAGAATGACTCAAAGAGACATGAACGTTACAGAGTTACACGTGGTTCCCAGTGGGATTTGGGTTTTCCCCTTTTTGGGAGAAGCAATCCTTGTCTACAGTTGTGCAATGGATAATCACAGTGTCAGGTGGAAGTGTGATGTGGTGGTTACTATTGACATTTTGGAAATTACTGCATTCCACCTACTTACACATACTTTTTTTTCACATTTGGATGCCTTTAAAATCAGGGTAAAAAACAATAAATGGCAATTCAAAGTTTAACTGGCAAAATCTCTTCTTTATTAATTGCACGAGAATTTAATGGTTCATCTTATAATTGCTTCTTAGATTCAGTGAAATACAAATATGGTGAATTAACTGTGGGTAGGCTGTTCCAGATTGTTTTCAACTCTGCCTTATACCAATGTTTTTTCTTTCTCCTGGTTCACAAGGGAGGAACCAGGGATCTATATTTCCTAGCTTTTGGGGTTTATTTTGACAACAGGAGGTGATGGCATAAAGTTTTGAAGGTTGAAGAGAAAGAGGACATGGCAATAAATAGAATTGTTCTCCCCCCCCCAAAAAAAGACAATACATGAGACTTTCAAACAGACTCTAAAATTCTGATTAACTCTTTTTTCTTCTCTATTTTTATTTTTTCTCTTTCTTTTTTGTTCTTTTTAGATATGCATGACAGTAGAGTGTATTTTGACATAGGCATAGGATAGACTGATTAGAATAGCTTATTCTAATTAGGGTCTCATTCTTGCAGTTGTACATGATGTGGAGTTTCACTGGTTGTGTATTCTTAAATGAACCTAGGAAAGTTATGTTCAATTCATTCTACTGTCTTTCCTATTCCCACCCCCCTCTTCCCTTCATTTCCCTTTGTCTAATCCACCAAACTACTCTTCTTCTACTCCCCACACCCTCATTGTGTGTTATTATCTGCATATCAGAGAGAACATTTGACCTTTGGTTTGGGAGATGGTCTTATTTCACTTAGTATGATAGTCTCTGGATCCATCCATTTACCCACAAGTCATAAAGTCATTTTTTTATGGCTGAGTAATATTCCATGGTGCATATATACCATGATTTTTTATGCATTCATCTGTTGAAGGGCATCTAGCTTGGTTCCATAGCTTAGCTATTATGAGTTGAGCTGCTATACACATTGATGTGGCTGCCTCACTGTAGTATGTTGATTTTAATTCCTTTGGGTATATACCAAGGAGTGAGATAATTGGGCCAGATGGTTGTTCCATTCCAAGTTTTCTGAAGAATCTCCATACTGCTTTCCAGAGTGGTTACACCAATTTGCAGTCCCACCAGTAAATATATGAGTGTACCTTTTTTCCCACATCCTTGCCAATATTTATTGTCAATTGTATTCTTGATAACTGCCATTGTGACTGGAGTGAGATTCCATCTAATCTAATGCAATAATTAAATTCATTAATTGTTTAATTTGAAATAGTTTTAATTTGCATTTCTCTAATTGCTAGAGATGTTGAACATTTTTTCATTTATTTGTTGACTATTCATATTTCTTCCTCTGTAAAGTTCCTGTTCAGTTCCTTTGCCCATTTATTGATTGGGTTATTTGTTGGATTTGGGTTTGTTTTTTTTGGGGGGGGTTTAAGTTTTTGAGTTCTTTATACATCCTGGAGATTAATGCTCCAACTATCTGAGGTGCTCTTGACTTCTGAGAATAGGAGAGAACAGTTTCATGGTAGCCAGAGAATTTGTCTTCATTACAGAGTTCCACCTGGGGAGTTGTGCTCTCTGCCTGGTGGATTTTCAACAGATGTACTCTGGGCATTGATTAGTCAGCATGCTCAAAAGTGATACCCGCTCCATTATATTCTCTTTCTCTACCAAGGAGTGAGATAATTGGGTAGATGGTAGTTCCATTCCAAGTTTTCTGAGAAATCTCCATACTCAAGTTCTCCATCTCAAGTTCTCATATGTAATTGTGGGGATTGAAATCCCAGGGTTCATCTCTTTTTTTTTTCTCTTAACAACATATGCATGCATATCTATGTAACCCCAATGTCCTTTGGCTTCTGTAGACTGGATAAAAAATGAGTTGCATTCTATTTGTTCACACTTACATTTTGTGGTTAGTAGTTCTCATCTCGTACCAGCTCAGCCCCTTCCTTAACCCCTTACTCTTACACCTATATGTTGGGCATCTCTAAGGACAGTTCAAGAACAAGACCAATGTCGGGAGATGCCACATAGGAAACAAGCGTCCCTTAGCCTTGAGTGATGAGAATGTGGAGATGCGGCAAGCCAGCCATGGGCTGTGTGTATCTGAACTATGAGCATTGAGCACACAAAGTGGACTGAACCAACGTTGCTCCTCTGTTTGGGTGAGCTTTGCTCTGGTCTTTACACTCGCTCTGCCATGATCTCCACACAGCTCATGAGATGGGCTAGATGTCAGTCAATCTGTTGACAGCAGACATCATGAAGCTAGACTCAACTCCCTGAAACCCGATCCCTTGCTTCATTTGAATGGCTTCTCCTCAATAAAAGGGTTCAGCACATTCTCTGTCTCTCTCTCTTTCTATGGACCCCTAAAGTCAGAGAAGCCATTACAGGACTCAAAGAAAAAGGTATTTGTCTGTCTCTGCATGGTTATTTCATGCAGCCCAGTTCACCTGGAGTGACCTTCAGTGTTTAGTCATGGAATGCGACAGACCAACCCATGTCCTTCCTACATGGCCGACCTGATGTGGTCTGCTCAAATGGCTCAAGCCCAGCACACTCTTTCCAGGTGCTCACCAACATGAAAGACCCTTCAAGGGCAATGATGGTACTGATTGTCATCAATCTTCACTCTATTTGTCACATGATGTCCTGGGAAGAAACAGCCTGAGAGAGACAAAATGCCTCCTCTGACAGAGTTCTGAGGTGTGAGGTATGCGCTAGAGAACACAGGCAGAAAACCACATCTTCCATCTCTCTCTGTTTCTAACCTAGTCATCCTTTACTTCTCCCTGGAAGTCTCACCCAATTCATTCAAAGTAGGCAGTCAAGTTGACAGAATGAGGAGCAAATGGGAATAGATCTACCCAAAGGAACGAGGACATTTCCATAGATGAACTGAGCCCAGCAATGAGACCTTGAGGTTAGAGGAGTGGACACTGAGCAGGTTTGAAGACTGCACCCTGGATTTGTCCCAGCCTTTGTGGACCATGCCTGAGTTAGTGAGGCCCTGGGGAAAAGGAAAAGGCCAACGGAAAGTTTTTCATTAAAAACTGAAAGGTGGGAGGGCTGGGAGAGTGCCAGGTAGAGTGCTTGCCTGGCACTTGTGAGATGCTGGGTTCAATCCTCAGCACCACATAAAATACAAAACAAACAAATTAATTAAGGTATCGTATCCATCTACAACTAAAAAAATACTTAAAAAGAAAACCTGAAATGTGGAAGAATCTGGAAGTCAAACTGCCATGTCAAACTGAATTCTCCATCCAGCACCCTTCAAGTTCCTGGTCACTGTTACCCCCAGTGTATGCTCCAAGACACACAATTTAGGAACATTGATATGCCTAACTGAAATTTTGATTTATTATAAAATAAAAATATTAATAATCAAATTTGCCTGAATTGCTTTATAGAATTTGTCAAAAAATCTATGAATGGAGTGTGGGGAATTTGAGAAATGTCTGGGTTGTCTTTGAAACTTTTCTGAAAACCTAAAACTATTTTATATCAAAAGTTTATTAATCAAAAATATCTATTGAGAGGGCAGGTATTTCCCATAACTACTCCTCAACTGGACTCAAAAGGCCAAGTTACATGGACTTTGGAGTTATACAGATAAGAGATAAAATCTAAGGTTGGTGGTAGAGTGCTGGCCTGGCATGTGTGAGGCACCAGGTTCAATTCTCAGCATTACATAAGAATAAATAAAATAAAAGTATTATGTCCATCTATGATTAAAAATTAAAAAATAAAAATAAAAATAAAAATCTTAGCTCTGGTATTTCTTTCTTGATATCATGGTCAGTTTGAACATATTTTCTAAGGTTTAAATTCCTCATATAAGAAATAGGCATAGCGGCTGGGGATGTAACTCAATGGTAGGGTGCTTTCCCAGCAAGTGCAAAGCTCCATGTTTAATCCCTAGTAACCCCCAACACACATGCAGAAAAGAACAACGGTTCCTTCTTTGGGGTTTGCTTCTGTTAAATGGAAAAATAGAGTTGAACTTCCCAAGAGTCTGTCACAAGGTTAACTCACCCCATGACTTTTTCTTCCCTGCAGCAGGAGCACATGCCCCTTCTCATCCAAATGTGGTCAAGAAAGATGTGCGACAAATGGAGTTGACTGAGGCAAAATGGAGTCAGTCGAAGTCACCATGAATTGTGAGAGTTCCCAGCAGCTGTGTCCAGAAGTCAAACCTGAACAGGGGAAGCTAATACTCTTAAAATCATGGTGAGAAGAATATTTTTTCAGGTACTAGGGATTAAGCCAAGGGGTGATTTACCACTGAGCTATATCCCCAGCCCTTTTTATCTTTTACTTTGAGATACGTCTCACTAAGTTGCCAAGACTGTCCTCAAGCTTGTGATCCTCCTGCCTCAGCCTCCCTAGTAGCTGGAATTACAGGTGTGCACGACTACACCTGGCTCCCCCACCTTTTGATAGGTATGTTGCAGTTAGATAGTCAGAACATACAGATGTTGCATATACTTTGTGCTTAGAACATTATTTGGTCTTACTTTTGTAGTAAATATACAATTGAAGGCCTTACTGGTTCCCTCTTGATCTCCCACCAGTTGCTTTGGTTGGCTGAAGCTCAGTCTCCAGTAGATTCCTCAGGAAGCTCTCATGGGAACATTATCCCTGTCTTCTCCAATACCACCTAATTTCTTCCTCAAGTTTCCCCTGAGTAGAAACCTCTTGGCTCTGATGGGTGCTGGTGGTTTGTCCCTGCCCACCCATTCATAATTTGGAGTTTGAGAATATACTATGCCTCTAATTTTGTTGTCTATGTGTTCTGAATTTTGTTATTTTAATTGTTTTGAATGTTTTTAATGGGGGAGGGGATTTTAGAAGATTCAAAAATTATGCCCACATTGCAGAATCAAAACTATCTTCCCAGACTCTGTATTTTAACAATTTCCACCTTCTGCCTTGGTGGAGTATCCATTCAATCCTTTTGCACTTTTTTTTATTAGGTTGTCTATAATTTTCCTACTGATTTAAAAGGGATTTTGGATACAACTAGTGTAGTCTACCTGTAACCACAAACACTTCCCCCAATGGGTCTTCCCTTTTCATTCTCTTAATTGTGTCCTTCAATGAGGAAAAATTCCTTGATTTTAATGAGATCTGGTTTAACTATTATTATGATCAATAGTGTTTCTGTAATATTTAAGAAATCTTTGCCTATTCCAAGACTAGAACTATTTCCTACATTATCTTCTAGATTATTTTATCTTTCACATTTAGTTTCATGATCTGTTGGGAACAGAATTTTGTTTGGCCTAGGAGTCAAGGTTCTTTTGTGTGGATACTTTATGTGGACAATGCAGTTAATCCAGTCACCTTGATTAAAAAGGGCTTTCTTTCCCCATCTGTTTGCTTTGCAGTGGTTCATTTGTCATAAATTAGGAGATTGCATGTTTTTGACACATTGGTTAGTCTGCCATCGTGCACCAACACCACACTGTCCCCATTTACTGTCTCATTATTAGTCTTAGTAAAGGGTAACTGAGTTCTGCAACTTTGCTTAAGATTGTCTTATTATTGCCTTTTGGAATTTTCATTTCAGTCTTAGAATCAGCCTAACTTCATGAAAAAAGTCCTTCTAATATTTGGCTGATTATTCGAAATTTATAGTTCAGCTTTGGGAAAACCAAAATCTTTATAGTATTAAATCTTCAAATCTGCACAATTTTGCTAATTTACTCCTAGGTAATTGATGGGTTTTGGGTTATTATAAAACATATTGAAATTTTTTATTTTATACTTAAGAAAAGACTTAAAAATTTTTTAATGAAATTAAAAACTTTCCTTGTGTCAGGCACCTGGTGCACTAGTGCAGAAAAAACAGGGTTGTAGGGGAAAGAAATGGAACCACAGGAAGGACTATGGCCTCATTGTTCCCCTGTCCATTGAGGCAAACCCACCTGAAACTAATTAAGGGTTTGGTGCTACCTGGTTTTTCACAATTGTGTGGCCATGCAAAAATGGGACAGAAATATATCCAAATGCTTGAGATCTCCTTCTGCTCTTGCACTTCCTGTTATTCATGAGACTCTTACCCAACATTTTCAAGTATTAGAATCCTGGAAGAGGCTGGGCACGGTGGCACACACCTATAATCCCAGCAACTCAGGAGGCCGAAGCAGGAGGATTGCAAGTTCAAAGCCAGCCTCAGCAAAAGTGAGGCACTAAGCAACTCAGTGAGACCTTGTCTCTAAATAAAATACAAAATAGGTCTGGGGATGTGGCTCAGTGGTCAAGTGATCCTGAGTTCAATCCCTGTTACCCTAAAAAAAAATCCTGGAAGATTTTATGTGCATTCTTAACCAATGCACATTTAAGCTTCTCTAATAACTTAGGTATCAAGAGATTCTCATAGAACTAAAATATTTCCATGCATCCTTGATTGTTTCCTCAGGGAATATTCCTTGAAATGTTTCTGGCTTCAAGAGCATGCATGTTTGTTTGTTTTACATCCAAAGATAAACTGCCTAAATGCTTTTTATGAGGATATATTTTTCATGCCAAAAGTTTGCTCAACCCTCAAATGCTGAATAAAGTTTAATTTTCACTAATGACAATAATAATTTTATATAAGTTTACAGTTTTAAATCACATGCTTTAAAAAAACTTTAGTTATATTCGTGAAATACTTACTTGTTTTTAGGGAATGTTTCAACAATCCTTTGCAATAAGATAGCACCCCTAGACTGGGAAAAGAATGACAGAATACATATCAAGCAACTTCTTTGTGCTAGATCTTTTTGAAAACATTATTTTGTTAACCTTGAGGACATTCTATGACGTGGATATTCATATCACCCCATTATTCAGATGAGGAAACTGAGGAATAAGCCAAATGCTATTTCCTTTTGTTTACATTGTTATGATGACATTCTACCCTCTTCCCGGAGTCACCTGGTCTGCACTGCAAATGTTGACACCAGGAGAACACTGTAGTGTCCAAAGGAAAAATCTTAGACTAATAAAGTTTACTTGAGCATTTATAAACAAAATAGAACAAAACGAAAGAATTCACAAATTAAAGTGGGTTCTGAGAACCCCAACCAATAACATGATCTGACAGCATTTATAGGAAGCAGGAAGCACCATGTAGAAACAATATAACTGGTTACAACTTCCTTGGTTAATTTGTTTCTAGAGTCTCCAGCAATTTACTAAAGCTCAACTACTATAGCTAAACTCCATATTTGTTTGGTTGTTAGGTTTAGCGTAGGATCTTAGTTCAAATCAATGGCTTCCCCCTGAATTTTTTTAACCATACCTAACAATGTCCCTCAATTTGTGCTAAACTGGTGCCAGCCACTCCCTCCAGCAGAACTCAGGCAATTGGCTCAGGAGCAAAGCAGTGATGGCAGCCTGCCCCATTGCGCCATCTTTTGGCTATCACTCTCCAGTGCATGACCTTTCCACTCATACTGGTAATCCATGCCAGGGCAGATGAGTAAGTATCTGTAAATCTCATACTTTTACCTTTAATCTTCATAACACCTTTTTGAAATAATTATTATCCTTATTTAAGATACATGGGAATTTGGTCTTAGAGAGGTAACGTGCTTGTTTCACATCAGGCAGTTGGAAAATTGCAAAGCTTGTCTCTGCCTCCAAAGCCAAAACACTTTCTAGCAAACCTGCTGTCTCCCAATTGAACTAATAATGAATACCTACTATCTACATGGTTCTGAGTTTTTTTTCTAAACCAATTACCAGAAAGAAAGAAAGAAAAAAGCACCTGGCATCTTTGCACAAAGAGACCACAAGTGTGTGTCCAGGCAGGTGGCTGCTGACCATTCTTGACTCATTCTTACAGCCACACTCTATTTGGGTCCATTTCTTTCTGCCCAGAGTCACCTTTTCCTGCTCTCTGCAAAGTCCAGTGAGGGTCAGCACGTTCTTCCCAATGGGTCTCCTATGGTTGGCTGGACTTCCTCCATAAACCCCTTCTCTTCCCCCAAGTAGGGCCCCATGGCTTCATCCACGAGGGCTTCTGACTGAGGGCAGCTACTCCTAGGGCTGTCATCATTGTCCTTTCAGCACTACTACTGACCCCAATTAAATAAAAGGAGTAAATAACTGTAAAGTTGTAGACATTAAATGTAAAACCCAGTACTCTTACTTTAAGACTGGTGAAACTGACTTGCTGGATATTTCAGACCAAAACTTGGAGCGTAAAGTTAAGAAATAAAGGGGCCAAGAAAGAAAATAAGCAACATTTGGCTCTTGCCCTCTGAGGTCAGCTTGAACCCAGGGAACAAGGGGACTTCTCTAAGGGTTTTGTGACTCTGGGCCACAAGTCCTCCTGATCAGGGATATTAATGAGACCCTGGAGAACAGAAGGCTGACCAGTGCACATGCTGCAAAGAGGAGGATTGTTGGAGAAGGCAACATCCCTGATGGTTCCAAGGGAAGCCACATGGTTAAGGATACCCTGACCCATCCTGGAAGATGGCACTAAAGGAGATAAGAAGCTGCTCTCCAGTTCCCAAGAGTAACCCCCTGTGGGAACTCAGTAGGAACAAGGTCAATATGACCAGCTTGGTCTTAAACACCTAACAAAAACAGTTATAACAAAAGTACAGCCATATCTGAGCATTTAAAAGAAAAGACAACAGCTCTTTTAATGGAACTTAAGACACACACTTCCCACAGCTATGGTGTCCCCCAAATTCTGAGACATTTTTCCTTTGCAAGATTCATATTTACCCCTGCCTACCAAAAATTGGACTGGCCTCTGTACCTTAGTGTTTTTCACTCCTTAAATTGATGTTTTACCTAACAACCAAAATTTGCCTATTCAGATAAAAGTGCACAGCAGACACAAGAGAGTCCTTCAGTGTATTCCCTTATTCATAGGGTTAGAGATATCTGTTGGAATTGGCACAGGAGCAGCAGGATTAGGAACCTCTATTCACTACTAAAAAAAATTGTTATAACAGGTTTTGAAGACATCCAGCAGGTGGCTGACTCAGTACTGACTTTACAAAACCAATTGGACTCTTTGGCATCTGTTGTACCGCAAAAATGTTGGGGCTTAGATCTCCTCACTGTCAAACATGGTGAACTCTGCCTCTTCCTGAGGGAGAATGCTGTTTCTATGTAAACCAATCAGGATTGGTAAGAGACAAGGTTTAATAGCTCCAGCACTGCCTGGAACAGCAGAGACGAGAACCAGCTGATTCTTGGGGGTCCTCACTGGGGGATCTAAAACAATGGATCTCCCAGTAACTTCCTCTTATATCCCCCTTAATATTCATCTTTTAATAATAACCTTTCTTCCCTGTATTCTTAATTTCATACAGAGACAGCTTCTTAGTTAGGTGACCCATTTAGCTCAAACTGCTTCCCAGCCATTCTCCTTCTGTGCTCACAATCTGAGTTCCTGAAACCACAAAGAGAAAAGGTGCCTATGATGACCTCAAGGCTCCTTCCATGTATACTCCTCTTCAGCCTCAACCACTTGGATCCTACAAGAATATAAGACACCCCATACCTCTGTATTCTCTCCTGGATTTCTTAAGGGGATTAGGTCCCCCTACTTCACCCCTTTTCAGCAGGAAGCATCCAGATATGATACTGATGCCCCTATTCGTTGTCCCCTTTCAGAGTCTGGAAGGAAGGATATGGAGAAAAACAACCCCCAAGGAGAAAGGGAGAGATGGGCTCTGAACTTGTTGCAATTTTCCTTATCTACAACCATTCCCCTGACTGCCCAAGGTCTCCCTCCAACACATTTCCTTCTAGGACTCAGCTCCTCTAAACCCTATAAAACTCAGACATTTATTGTAGCCAGTTGCCATTTTCCCTCTTGAAAATGTGTCCTTCTGCTGCTTAATAAAGCATTGCTGATTTACTGAGTTCTGTCTCCGTTTCTTTTTCTTTCTGTATTCTCTTTTATTTGCTTTTGCCAACAGTTGGGGAACTTTTTCTATAACGGGTCTGTCTCGTATGCAGCCCAGTCATGATCAAGCAATGGGGTACATTGCTGACAGGCCAAAGGAAACACCTGCAGACTGCATGGGAGGTATACAGTTTATTTTGGAAATGCTTACATAGATCACAGACTGCTCCAAGAAGAGTTCAGCAGCAACAGGCTGACAGATAGCACCTCAGTCCCTCACAGTGCTTTGCCAAGCAATGCCTCCTCTCCCTTACTGTGTTCTGTCCAGTGGTGGCCAGCTGGATGAGTGATAGGTATCCTTCCCACAGTGCTCTCAGCTCCACACCCATCCCCACTCACAGAGGGGTTTTGTATGGTAGGCTGCAGCAGCAACAATATCATCAGCTTGCTTAGTTTGCTGTCTGACCAGCATCCCAAGGAGCAACTGTCTTGAGGTATATGAAAGAAAGTAGCTTTCTACAGATAACACTAACTCACCCTAGTTCCTGGCATGCATAAGAGAAAGCCAGAGTCCTTCAAGATAAGATGTATCTGGACTTTCCAGCCCAGGCTTGCTCTCCTTGTTCCCTAACATGACTAGGTTTTCAGGAACAGAAACAGAGCATTCAGAGACATGAAGTATTACTGCTCCCTTTTTCTTTAGGGACAATACAGGGCCAAAGAGGAAATATTGTAAATTATGTAACCATAGGTCCCTTTTGCAACTACTCAATGCTGCTGCTGCTGCTGCTGCTGCAAGGAAAGAAGCCTTAGACAATTCATAGATGACTGGGTATGACTGACTTCCAATAAACTATTCCCTCTTTCTCATCAACTAGGAAGCCCACATCATATCCTGCATCCTTTCTATGCAGTGACTCAGCTTTCCAAGTCTTGTGCTTCTGAAATTTTGAAAACCCCTTCTTGCTCAGTAAAACCTACTGATGCCTAATTCAGCCAAGTCTAATCTGAAACTCTCGGCTGATCCATGCCCCTTTATTCAAGGTTGACTGTACCTCCCCATGAAGCAGGGGCTGCCAGTAATACAGTGAGTGGAGCAGCTTCTGGGCATCTAGAAACCAGAAAACAAATTATCATGGAAATGCAAATCAAAACCATGATGAGACATGATCTCAGTCCATTCAGAATGACAATTATCAAAAAGACAAAAAATAACAAATGCTGATGAGGATGTGGAGAAAGGGGAACCCTCATGGCAGGAACTGCTGGTGGGAATGTAAATTAATATAACCATGATGAAAAATGAGAAGAGGTTCCTCAAAAATCTAAAGATAGAATACCACATGATCCGTGATCACACTGTTGGTTATAAATCCAGAAGAAATGAGGTCATTATATCTATGGGATTCCTGGACACGTTTATTGCAGCACCATTCATATTAGCCAAGATATGGAGTCAACCAAGGTCCCCATGAATGAATGGAGGAAGAAATGCCTTATATATACACAATGGAAAATACCTCAGTCATAAAATAAATGAAATGCTATTTGCAACAACACAGATGAACCTGGAGGACCCTGTGTTAAGTGAAATAAGGCACAGAAAGACAAAACACCCAATGTTCTCACTCATTGGTTGAAACTAAAAAAGTTTGATTTCATAGAAATAGAGAGTAGAATAGTGGTTACCAGAAACTAGGAAGGGTGTCTGGGTGAGAGTCTGGATAATGGGAACCAAAGTACAGTTACATTGGAGGAATTCGTTGTAGTGTTCTATACCGTGGTGGGTAGCTATAGTCTACACCAATTTATTATAAAGTTCAAAATAACCAGAAAAGAAGAGATTGAAGATTCCCAACACATAGAAATGATCCACACTTCTAGAGACCCATCCTTGAGACTTATTTATGCTCACAGAATCTGTTCTACTGTGAGCAACTGGTGGGACCCCTGCTGAGGAACCTGGGATGGTGGGCCTGGAGAATGGTGTGTCAAGAAGGGATGTGGTTGCATCTTTTCTCCAGCCCAGGGAAACAGGTGAAAGCAACAAACCCTCTCCAAGTCCCCAAACCCCACACAACACAGGGAGACTCTGCTTGGCTCAGCCCAAACTTTCCTTGCTTAAGACACTAATGCCCCTAGTCTCTGCTTTCGTGCTAGTGCATCTCAACAGAAAAGCACATCATAGAGCTGTGTGTCCCCACTTTTTTGAGCACAGAACTCTTCTCTTATTTTGCTGTATAAGTAATACATGCTCATTATAGAAAACTGGAAAATAACACAAATAAAAATGTAAATTATCTATAATCTCCTCCCCAAGATAACCACCTAACCGTGACATGCTACATAAAAATTTCTATAATTCTCTCCCTCTCTCTGTCTCTTAAACACACACACACACACACACACACACACACATATCCATTCATTCATTCTACCAACATTTATACCTGACAGATGCTATTTCACCACAGAATCTTCACATCCCTTACTTTCTTGACTGACAGGCTAGGATCAGTTGTTGCCATTGCAAATCTGGTACATGCATCAAAGTAGACTGGAAACTAGGATCAGAGGAATTAAGACTACATGTGACTACAAAAATAAAGTTTTCTAACACAGATTCACATTATCGCAGGCTCATGGGCCAAGCTTAGGCATTTTGGGAGCTGGGGAGAGTGTGTCAGGGACTCCCCACAGATGAAGGAGGTCTCTCCCACAGATGAAGCACCAAGTAGAGAATTGTCACCTACCAGACCTATGTTACTTGATCTGCAAGTATAATAATATCCAGCCTGCATTTTCTAGCCCCTAATTTGATGGGACTGATTGTACAACAGTTCTCCAACCTAGGCATGCATAAGAATCACTGGGGAAGAGGTGCCGATAATTAAAATCTAGGCTTCTGATTCTCAGACTCTGGTTTTCAGTTCTTTTCTGGAGTGTAGCCCAAGAACCCAAGAATCTGCACTTCTTCTATAGGATGCTGATGCTACTGATTCATGGGACCCTATTTGAGCAGCTCTGGGTACAGTATTAGGTTCTCTTTCAGGCAGAGAATACCAGTAGGCTGTAGGATTCCGTTTTGATTGGCACCTGAGAACACACAGAATTGGTAGGAGGCTGGCTCTGTGATCTGAGATTTAACTATCTAGTCCCAAAGGGACAAAAAGAAGGGAGTTAATGATAATGCTACATGCTCTTTCCCCAGGATATTATAGTTTCTGGTCATGGGTATGTGTCCTCTTGGGGTGTTAAGAAGGGAAGATGCTCACAATCCTTCAGAGATGGGGCACTCAGACCTCTCTCTTGGCAACCGGTCCATTCTTCTACAGAGTAGCCGGGTTTGAGTAGACAGTTTTATTTTTCAACTGGACAAAGACCCAGAAATCATCCAAGGTTGCCTATAGGATCTGCTGGGGCTTTGTGATGAAATGAACGCAGAAGATGGATCTTGTCCCAAGAGACAAAAATGCTGCACTACCAGGTGTGGTCACTCTTCAGATTGTGTGTAGAAGATAGCTGCTTATGGAGAGGAGGAAGAGTCCCCACTGGCCTTGGCAGGGGTAGGAGGGGTTCCACCTGCCCCTTGCCCACTGAAGTCAGAGCGGCACATGGAGAAAGCTGCTTGACAGCAAAGACCAGAACTGTCTGGAAAGTGTAAATATAATCTTCATGCTTTAGTGTTGTGAGCAGACTGCTTTGAACATGGGCAGTGCGATGCTGCTTCTGGGAACCTTGTGGTGCAAGAGTGCCAGGGTAACACCCATTTGCAAGGTGACTCCTGTTGGTAGGAGAATTCCATTCTTGTCATGGATTTCAGTAGTTCAAAAGCCTTGATTTCAAAAACCAGCTGCCCGAAGGAAGAATAGATGGGTGTAAACTGCTAAGCCCCAGCCACGTTGTTTTTCTCAACTTCCTGCTTACCTCAAGAAGTTTTTCACACTGAAACCCTTTAATGCTCACACCTATATAATAAATGTGTGGGCTTTTGTTCCTTTGTTAGATCCAGTCTCCATCAGAGCTTGGGTCACTCACTGGATCCCGCTGCATCGCCATTTTTGTGTCCTTTGTCTTTATTTCTTAGTATATTTCTTTTGACTTTTATTTTCTCAGGCTGGCTCACAGCCTGCATTCAGTTAACTGTTCACCCTCTCGGTGGGCTGCAGCAGACATTTTAGGATGATTTATCCATTGGGATAATGACAAACCTTGGACTCCTCCCATGACCATTCCCAAATGTCTTCTTTATTCCAAAGTCAGCTGCTTTTCCTGGCTGCTCTCTAAGGATCTAAAATAACTTTCGATTAAGCGTTCCATTCTGGTGATTATTAGGTAGATTATGGGGTGATTGCTTCCAAAATTATCCTTCTTTGAACAAAATTATTCCTGTGGCATTTTTCAACCTGAGCTATTATTTCTACGTAAGATGCTAGTTCATCTCCATTACTACTACACCTCAAACAAATATGTGACCTCCTTATCCATTACTACACTTATCCTCCCTTTTCTCCTGCAAAAAAAAAAGAACTTTAGACAAATTTAATTCAACAGAGTTGAACTGAGCAAGGAATGATTCACAGATTCAGCAGCCCTCAGAACCAGATCTTCATAGAACTACGCTCTGCAAGTGAGATGGGAATATTCATAGACAGAGCAGGGAAATGAGGCACAGGAACCAGCATTATTGGACGTGTCTGTGAATTTGCCTTAGTTAGACACGATCTGATCAGTATGTAGCCTGTGATTGGCTGACACTCGGCTATTTCCCATAAATATACTTTTTTAAATATTCAAAATGTTTATTTATGAAACCACTCGAGTTGACTTATGTAACTTCAACAAATAAAGTATTTAATAATAAATTGTAGTATACAATGCACTTCTCTCTAGAGAAAAAGTCTTATTTACAACTTAAGGAACAAAGGAATTTTTTAAATCAAATATAGATTTTAGAAATACATTCGTTATGTAGTACTACATTAATAAAAATGGAGTTTTCTAAGAATCGCTTAA